TGGTTCATGGGGTCACGAAGAGTCGGACACGACTTAACGACTGAACAACAACAACAAAATAAAAAGTAATCATACCTTTTTCTGTCTTGAGCTACCTGTTCCAAGCCGTTTTACCCCAAAGCTACTTCTTCCTAAAGAAAGCGCAATCATATCTTGTAGGTGTGTACCTTACAGATAACTGCACATTTTCCATTAACATAACTTGCAGGGATAAATTTTGTGACACAAAATTTTTTTGAGCAGGTTGATGAAACAAATCCACACTTAGACTGTTCCTACTCTGCCCTGCTTTCAAAAGCAAGTCTGTACCCCTTGATCCCATAACACTGGGTATGTTCAAAAGATAAGCTGATGTATTTCTTGCTCAGCTCTGATATATTTGAAACTGCAATAAAGTTGGTCTGGAAAATGATGCAGCTTTGTAGAGCTCCCAGCTTCAGTTTCAGTTTCAGCACTGCAATAACCCTTGCCTCATCCCATCTTTCAGCTCTTGCAGGTCTTTCAAGGGAAGCAGTTGCTTGATGGCTTCTCAGCTCTCCCTCACAGGAACCCACCAGGGAGGGCTGCACACCACCAGATATTTATTTATTTATTTATTTATTTATTAAATGTATATGATTATCCACTTGCCAAGCCACTCTATTTACAAGTGGGAATTCCCAACTCTTTATCCCCTCCCCTGCAGTTGTAATAAGCACTATCCTCTTGATAAGATTAAGATCTATGGTAATGTGGGTTCTTTCATCTAGCTAATAGTGAATGGACTAAAAAAAATCATACACTTATGAACTGTTTGACAATTGATAGAGGGGAGCAATTCAGCTCTAATTTGTTCAGAACAGAAGATGGCTAATTTTGACTGTAAAGTTTGTAGAACTGGGTTGAAAGAAAATCAGCATATTTTAAAAAAATTAGTGCATGTGACCTGGTTTTCCACTTAAACAGAAATTTATCAGACTGCTTAGGAAGGAGGGCAATTGTAGTAAGGAGGTAGTTACAGCTGCCCAGGTCGCAGCAGCGATCTCACCCCTCAGCAACCGAGGCGTTTGCCGTTTGAAGAGGGACTGCCCTTGTTCTGTTTTCCTGTGTGGCACTAACAGATGCAAGGGAGCCCAAATGCAACCTGACAAAATGGTAACTGCAGATGTTTGTGTATGCGCGCATACGCCGGATCTCGAAAATCTGAAAACCTCTAGGGTGCCAAAAGGCTGCTTCTCGCTCTCGTTAAGCCTTGGAAAGAACCATTCCGACGCAAAAGTTTCCTCCTTGAGGGCACTGCTTTGAAGAATTCATCTCCCTTTCAGAATGTTTATAATGAATATGCTCATCCCTCCTAGTTAGACTGAGGAACTAATGAAATTTCCTTTGCAGGTAAATGTTAAATATGGAGTGGGGCGGACAGCGATCTCAAGCGTCGTCCGAGCTAACTTTTATAAAAGAAATCGTGCTAAGGAACCATTCCCGTCCCCACCCCCACTACGCCACTAGACTCCCCTCCCCGCTTGCCATTTTCCGCTCTCTCGTGTACTGCAGCCCGTTTGCTGCCGATAGCTGCATGCAGTACCAGGTGTCCATTCTAATCTGTT